TTTTAAGATCACCCAAAATTAAGCATCTCTATAATAAAAAAAGAGTGCTTAATTTCAGAAGTATATGGTATTTTATTTTATTTTTTAAATATTAAGATAAGTACTTGTAACTCAGAATTTTATTAATAATATATTTGGCTAATAGTTGCATTACAACTACAGAGAACAATTATAAAAAGAGTATACAACTGATCATTTATACAACTTTAGTTATTGTTTAATTTAAGTAGTTTGCTTAAAGGTTTTATATTAGCTACTATATCTAGAATCTGCTTGTAGATTACCTATTTAAACACTTTAGTTTCTGTATCTACTTACTTATTTCTGCCTACTAATGATCCTAGCTGATGCTAATAAAAATATACTATAGTCAGTAAATCTTTAAAGTAGTTCATTTATATAGAGAAACTTTGACCTTGTATTAAACCTTTCAGAATCTTTTGTATCTTATTTTTACAGCTAACCTAGTATTGCTATAGTCAAGACCAACACTTGCAGTTAGAGCATACTATCAAACTGATATGTCTTTGTAAAGTTCACACCAACTCTGATACTGACTTTACAACATATTTCTACTACTTTGATATTCAATTCAAGTTTCATCAAGCTGCCAACTTAGATAGCCCAAAAAGATAGATTATAATCATATATCTTTAGTTTATATATTTTTTAGCATATATTCTTTTTCTCTAAAATCTGGAAATTCTAGTGACCTGGTTGGTTTATCTGGTTCCTTTTCAAAGACCAGCACATTTGCCTAGCTTTATGAATTCTAGCTCTATTTTAAAGATTTAATTTTTATAGTAGCACTGTTAAAAGTTTAAACTACCTCTCTATTCAGATTTTTCAAGTAGGCTTTTGTCTTTTTATCTGGTTTTTGTAATTTACATAGTCTAAGAACTTATCATGAATTGACACTTACTAGTACTAGTTTGTGTTTCTTTATACAATATTGTATAAATGTCTAGACCTTCCAGTTATACTAGTATGATACAGATTACAGATATTTAATTCTAACTAATTACAGAAGATAGTTAATGATAATACAAAAAAAATTGCAAATTTTTGCTATTACTAGGATTTGAACTCTAGATTTGCTACTTGGAAGTTAATAATCTAACCACTTTACTAGATTATCATACCTCTTTACTCATTTTATAAATAATATCATATCTTAAACAAGTTATATATATGACAAAACTCAAACATTTTTTTAATTACAAATGTTTAAATTTGTTATAAATTATTAATAAAAATTTTATTTATAGTTAATAATAGTATATGCACATTATATATATATAGAGGAATGTATAATCAGTGTTGTATAAGACTTCAGTACAAACTTACAATAAGATCACCAGATGTAGAAGACTAAAGAACTGAGGTGATCGAAACCCACTTGGAAATTTCTAAGTAAAAAGATAGCATGAACTTTTAATGATACCATCAGATTAGTTGAAGTCTATAAAATATCTTCATAGAAACTAAAGGTTAAACTAAAGATCAAATATATATAGAAGAGCATATAACCAATCAGGCTGCTAGATTTATTAGAAGAAAAGGATACAAAAGTATATCATACTGGGCCATCTGGATTGGTAGTCTGAAAGAGATTGCTATTTTAAAGTTGCAGCTAATAGAAGATGATAGAGAAGATATCAGAAAAATAGGTATTAAGGTTTTAGTGAACTTTACAAGAGTAGAAATAGTGTAACATAGCAGTTAAACAAGTAGTCTTTGTAACTGCAAGTGTTAGATAACTATAATATGTTGCATAAAACTAGGTCTGTATATATAGAACATAAAGGCTTTAGTAAGTTTTTTGTTAAGGATAAAGTAGTTCTAAGGATAATAACTAATATTAGAAACTTATATAGGTGTAGCTTTGAAATGTTCTTATAATACAAGAAGAATTGCATATGCAGAGAGTTTAAATAAACAAGATCTCTAGTTGGCTTGCAGATATAACAACTAGTATAGAACTTATATAGCAATGTATAAGCAGACTACTTAAATTAGACACCAAAAGTGCATGTGTGACTAGTTGTAACCTTCAATGTAAGGTAAGTCCCTAGTGGCATACCATGTTCTATATACTTAAATAAAAATATTACATTCTAAAGACAAAGACTTTAACTATAAAAAAAATAATAATAGTATATGCTAATGTAAATACTTTTTTATAAGCTCAATAATTATATTACAATAAAATTATATACAAAAAACTTTAAATTTGTTTTTTAGTTTGCTAATTGTATATTTTATATACTTGTCTATATTGAATTTATAAAAATACATTGTCAATTTGTTTTAATTGCATTATAAAAAATATTATTTAAAAGGATAATAATTCTAGTATAGTAATTAAGTTGTTATATTCTAATTAGTAAGTTCAAAGTTTAAATCCTACTAGTAATAGAATTTTGAAAAATGGCCCTATTTTGGCAATTTAATTGAAGTATCCAAAGTTGTAACTTTGTAATTCTGGTTATACCAAAACTAACTTTGAAAGCATGCAATATTATATAAATAAATCTGGAAAGTATATGCTCTATAAGAACCTCTGTTTGAAAATTTTAAGTAGAAAGGTAGTATGATATTTGATAGTACTACTTATAAAAATCTTGATCTGAAGATGAAAACCTAAGGCAGATAACTTGTATAGATAAGAATTTTAGATAAAAAGGTTCACCAACCTGGCTACTAGTTGAACTAGGTATAAAGTTACATTATATAGAGTTAACTAAATTAATAATATAAAAGAACTTGCAAGGTATACAAAATACTAATAAGGTTGTAATAAAGAATACTAGAGTTATATGAACTTTATAAGAGTATAGCAATTTAAAGATTATTCTAACTACAAATATTGGTCTTAGCTATAGTAATATCAGATTAGCTAAAAATTGAATAACAAAGAGTTTTAGTAAATTTAATACAAAGTTAAAAGTTTTTTATATAAGTAAACTATTTTAAAAACCTAGTAATTATAATATATTTGCACTGATAAAAACTGAAGCAGTTGATAAGATAGTGTTAAAAAAGTTTTAAGTTTATAATATACAAAGTTAAGAAAGATATAACAAATTGTTACTTACAAATACCAAATATTTAAAATATTGTATTATAAAAGAGATAAAATAATTTGGCAAGACTAAGATATAAGTGCAAGGTCTTGGTTTATTATTATTATAATTATTATTATTATTATTAACACTTATTATTTTTATTTCTAGCTAACTCTTCCTAACTCAAAAAAAGATGCACTTATATACAAAAATGATATTTTACAAAAAAAAACAATGCAAAGGCCCAAGATTAAATATTTTTTTACTAAAATTAATAGTTTTAGATCTGTTATTATGATTGTAACTTTGAATAGCCTTCTACAACACAAACAACTAGCCCAATTTGGCAAATCTTTGAGCAGACTACTTAAATTAGACAATAAATAAAGTTTTATAAATATTTAGTTGTACATTTTTTTATATTTGCTTTATATAGCTGTTGTAATACAATTACAAAGCTAAAACATACTATTAATAAAAGTTTGTATTACAAGTATCTATCTTTAATATTAAAAAAAATATTATTTAATGTTTTTGATAATAAAAGTTTTTATTTAATTGTATAACTTATATGGTATTTGCAAAATTGTATATTAACTTCTTTTTATATAGCCTAAGCATTTAAAATCTATATAAAATTCTTATTTAGACTACACCAATTTGATTTTTTGTTTAACATAATATAGAATAGCCTGTAGAAGAGAGATAGGCATTGTAAAAAAATACAAAAAAAAAAAACTAATTTTATTGACTAGAAATAATGTAAAAAATATTAAATATACATAATTACTAATACTGCAATTTGATTGATAAATCAACTAGCTTTAATAAACAAAAAAGAAATAAATATTTCTTTGTTTGTAATAAAAGTTGAACAGATAAAGATTTATTTATTTATTTATTTATTTAAAGTAACCTCTTGGGTTTTTTAACTTTATTTAAGAATAGTAAATGTAGTTCAGTAAATTACTAAAGAAAGAGCATACAATTGACTACATATATAACTTTTCTATATTACCTATTTAAAAAGTCTGCTCAAAGGTTTCTCACCAATTGTTATATCTAACACTCTTGCTTAGATATACTACTTTAAACTCTTTGAACCTGCAAACCTGTTAACTTCACTAGGTTATACCTGATATTCAGATCATTATCTCAATTTTAGGACTATTTTATCTTTAATGTAAACCTTCTAGAGCCTTCTGTATTTATTTTTATAGCTAACCTAGATATCACTATAGCAGAACTAATACTTGCAATCAGGGCTTAACCATTTAACTACTATACCTTTGTAGAGTTTACTTAGACCTCAGTATCTACTTTATAGCATAACCCTAATACTTTTATATACTCCTGTCTTTTTATCTGCCTTTTTACCAAACTTCTAATTCAGATAGCCTATATGAAACTATGATCAGTCTATTAGTATATCAGGTCAGCCCAATATTCTTTTTTTTTAATTTCTTCTAGCAGCCTAGTTGGTGGTATCTCTAAGACTCTTAACTTAGAGTTTCTTGTCTGTCTGACTACTATGACCAGGTACTATAACCTTGGTATTTGTTTCTCCAGACTAGCCTTTACAGTAAAGCCATTAAAGATTTAGCTACCTCTCTACTTGGGTCTTTTCAAATAGACTTCTTGTTATCTAATTTCAACAAATTTATATAGCCACAAGGACTTATTTAGTGTTTGCACTACCTAATTTGTTGGTTTGCATTTTTTTGTATAACTTCAAGATTATACAGATGCCTCATAACCTGCTATTCATATTAGTGCAACTGCTATTACAGATATTCTAATCTAATTATTAGTAATAGTTGTTATAATATAAATATTATATAGGTAATTATCCAAATTTTCACTATTGATAAGATTTGAACATCCAACTTACTACTTGGGATTGACAACAGATAATATATAGTTATTTGGCACATGGTACAATTATATCGTGATCTGCGTGATCACGATATTATTGTCATACTGACAAATAACGTGAAGTATTTGGCGTAGAATTTGATCGTGAGATGACTGGGCCCCGAAGAGGCCCAGACATCGATCGATCAAATTCTACGCCAGATATGTCAGTTATTGGTGCGAAGCATCCAATAACGGTGTTATCTGGCATCTGATGATGATCGGGTAACTTATGATTTGAAATTAAAATAATAATAGTAATATATGTAATAACGAATATGCAATAATACAAATAAATAAAAAGTTTAATTGTTACATATATTTCTTGATTTTAATGTGATCAATTCTTATTTATTTCTTTTTTTCAATTCTTTTTCAATTTCTCTTTAATTTCTTTTTCACTTTTTCAATTACTACTAAAAAAAATGTCAAATAAAAAACTAAATATCACAAACCTACTGAAGAAGAAATCAATGAAATTATTGCTAGCACAATACCTGAAAATACACACAAAGCTACGGCAAAATGGGTCAAAATATTAGAAAGCTGGAGATCAGAAGTAGGATATGATTATGGAGTTGAAACGATTAATGATAGACAGCAGCTCGAACATGAAATGATTGAATTTATTTTAGGGATTAAACAAATTCGTACTCAATCTGAGTATTCACCATTATCACTTATTAACTGTATAAGGTTACTAAGTGTTTACATTTTTAAGCATCCTGAATCTACTAATAAGTTTAATATCAATAATCGAAAGGAATTTCCTCAATTATGGGAAGCTTTAAATGGCAAGATGAAGCACTTAAAAAGGCAAGGAATTGTATCACGGCATCATGATCACCTGACCGATGATGAATTAAAGCAAATATTTCAACATTCTGCACTTTCTATTGATCATCCTGAAGGGTTACTTTATCGAATTTTTATGTAGAGCTGTCTTCTTTTTCAATCCCGAGGGGGTGAGCATTACAAAATTTCCATGACTCAGTTTACTTTTACTCCTAATGAAGGAATGCAATTTGCAAAAAGCCATCAAAAAAATGATCAAGGAGGAGTAGATGGTTGCTCTGATGCTCTTGTAATTCCTATTCCACCTGATCCTGAAAACTACTGTGGACCTATTCATGATTTTAAGCACTATTTTTCTAAATGACCAAAAAATTCTAACTGTTCATCTCTTTATTTACAAATCAATAAACGTGCAAAGAGTAAAATCTTGTTAAATTTATTATTATTATTATTATTATTATTATTATTATTATTAATTATTAATATTATACTAACACGAACTATTTTACAATAAAGATCTTTTAAAAGATGAATGGTATCTCGATTCTCAGTTAGGCGAAAAGTCATGCCAATCTCTCATGAAAAATATTTGTGCCACAGTTAATATTAACTTGGAAGGTCGGGATATTGTTAATCATTCTGGAAGATCTACACCAATTACTTCCCTATTTCAAAAAGGTGTTCCAACAGTTACAACTATGTCATTGACTGGACACAAAAGTGAATTATCATACAGGATTTATGCATGGCCATCGCAGCAACAAAAAGAGGAGGCTCTATCATTATTAATAAATAATGTTGGGACCTTACCCTTAAAAAATTCTAATGTTTCAAGTAGCCTAAATTCATCAAATAGCTTGAAAGTTGCAAATAATTCAGAAGCTACTACAAATAATTCAAGGTACAATTATTTATTTATTTATTTATTTAAAACTCTAATTAATTTTTTATTAGAGTTATAAATAAAAATCTACTATGACATAACTTTTCAGCAAATCCATTCCTGACACTTAATCCTTCAGTTATGAAACCATTTTGACAACCTTTACGTAATGCTTCACAAAACAAGTCTTCAAATGGAAATCAACAAGTTATTCGTAGGGTTCCAAATATGCAAAATTCTGAAGAACAAGATTCAATTAATAATGGTGGTAACAAGATGGTCAAAAATTATTATATTAACACTGAAAGTGTTACTATCAATTAATAATATACATTACTATCAATTGAATAGTATGTGTTTATGATTGCGCTAGTATTATGTAATAAAGCAATAAAAATTAAGCTAATGTAAATTTTAAAAAAACTTGCTATCTAACATATAATTGCCAATTCAATAACAATTTTAAAAAATTTATTCTACTTAGTACTTTACCCATCATGAACTTTAATTTTTCAGTGCAAGTAATGAAAATACTGCTGACTAACTAAATTAAACTTTTTTTTTCCTATGTGAGCTGCCAAATAACTAAATTAACCTTTGTTTTTTCATACGTGAGCTGCCAAATAACTAAATTAAACTTTTTTTTCATATATGAACTGCCAAATAACTGGAGTTATTTGGCAAGCCCGATCATAGTCGGATGCCGGATAAAGATTTATTATTATCTTATTTATACTAAATTATATTAGCTTTTAACTACTAATATTAGTTCATTATCTTTTATGATTAAATTAGTATTTAATATATTATTGTTTATTAAAAAAATTTTAGAAAGAATAGATATAGATAGATAGTAAGTATAACCTGATAGTTGTAGAAAGAAATATTCAGATAAGGGTTGAGATATATATAGTAAAAGTAATAACATATATTATAGTTAAGTTTAATTAATATTTTGAGTATATAGTTAAAATTATTATATTATATAAAATTGTATTGATAAATATGTTTTAAGAAGGAGTTAAGTATATGTGAGTATAAAAGTACATGTAGATTTAAATATGCTAACCAATAGTTATAGCATAAGTCTGGATTATATAATGTCTTATGAGTTAGTTTTTGTAGAGCTTTCTTAATATAAAATAATGAAATAGAATTTAAAGAAGTAAAAAGTTCTTCTGTAGTTTTACTCACTATATACTCAGCTCTCACAGCTGTAAAAAGTACTATAGCATGCTCTGTACATTGAGTCTGACTGTTTTAATTTGATTCTTCATATAAATAAACTTAACTATCTGTTCACTTATATCATTTTCTTCTAAAAATGGCTCATGTTTAATAAAGAACATTATAATTCCAGAAGTAATAGCTGCTTTTATAAATAGGTCAAAGGTTTTCTATATAAGTAAACTGTTTTAAAGACTTAGTAATAATGGTATATTTTTATTGATATTGACTAAAATTATTAATAGATATAGGTAGATAGATAAATATAAGAACTAAAATGTTTAAATAAGAAACTTACAAGCAGATTTCAGATATAGCAACTAGTATAAAATATTTAGACAAACTATTTAAATTAAACAATAACTAAAATTGTACAAATAATTAGTTGTATACTTTTTTCATAGTTGTCCTTTGTAATTGTAATACAACTATTAGCTAAATGTACTATCAATAAAATTCTAAGTTACAAGTACTTACCTTAATATTAAAAAAAAACTTTGTATAAAGAAGTTTATAAATTAATAAAGAATTAATTAATCTTTTTAATTATAGGTTACAAATACAAATATACTATACTATAGTACTAAAAGTTATACTAATTTAACTACTGTAATCTAAGAATACCAATTTAATAATAAAATAAATAAAATACTAAATATACTAAATATCTAAATCTATACAAAAAAATTAGAAGGGATGCAAATTATTAACACTTTACAATAATCACTTGTACCAAAATTCTCTAATAATAAACTGGCAATAACTAAATAATTTATTAAGTAAATCTTTTCTGGCCTTCTAAGTAAAATTGTTCACAACTAAATTTTATATATAAGTAGTTTAGTTTTATATCTTTCAGACCTCTGTACAGTGAGATATATCTATTAAACTGCAAAATACTTTTTTTAAAATTTTTAATAATTTACTAAGCTAACCTTAGTTGTTATCTTAAACAAAAAGACAAAGCTCACTTAGAGCTTTATTTTGATATATTATATATTAATTTTGAATTAATATTGAAAATTTTATACAAAAAATCTTTGAAACTTTTTTACAAAACTTCTGTTTTTTTTTGCAAAAAATTTTTTCTTTTTTTTTGAAGAAGTCCCGTATTCTAGGACATTTAGCACCTGCAGATTATTACCAAAAGTTATATTATTAATTAACTTAATACAAATTTTAATTTTATATATTTTTAGTTCAATTAACTAACACAAAAATTTGTTCAATGTCAATCATTGTAACTACTTAGTCTGCACATTTTGTGCTACTTATTTGTCACATTCTCTTATTTGTTACACTTTTTTTACTCATTATATTTCTTATTTGTCATACTCTCTTATTTGACACACCTTCTTAATTGTCATATCCTATATCTTTCAGATCCTTTTACATTCTAGATTTCTATTATCTACTTTGTTTTTAATTCTCAAACCTTAAACTATGCCTATTTTAGTTACTGAAGACTCTAACTCCTATAATATTGACTACTACTATGGCAAATATAAAGATTGCCATGGTGTAGGAATAATCAAAAGAAAACTCCAATCTCTACATGTACTTCCAGCAGACATTAATCCAACTAATTATGATATTATTAAAAAACATCATTATTTTAAAGTCTCTCAACAAACTATTATTGCCATATGCTTTTGTGATATATATTATTTTAGTTTTATTTCTCAGTTTTACAGAATTCCTCACTCTACTTCTCTTAGACAATCTATAATTCAAACTTCTTCTATTATCTTTGTTAACTATTTTAGAAAAAAATTTGATAAACTACCTTAATTACCTACTTCAAAACAATAACGATCTGATTTATCTTCTTTCAAACCTCATATGCTATTTTCCAGTTTTCAAATAGATCCTATATCTTCTGCAATTGTTACATACTCTCAATACTATCATACATGTTTTATATGTAGAACTAAAAATATTCCTTGTATAATTACAAAACAAAGTAGCCATGCTTCTAACTATGCAATTTGTACAATCTTTAAGCAAAACCTAATTCACAAACTTTGTGTTTCTGGTTTATTGGATATTAAACTTAAATCTGACACAAATTTCTCTTTTTACATTTCAATAGCAAATAGTTATAGCCTTAATCAAATCCAAACTAATTAGTTTAAACACTCAAACTTCCTTTTCTAAATCTAAAAAACAAATTATTTCTCCTCTTATTCTTAAACAAAAACCAATTCTTGCTCTTATTAAAATTCAACAAATAAAATCTAATAAAAAAATTCAACTTCTTAAATCCTTTCTTTTAAAGAAAAACAAGAAACAACAGCATTTCAAACAACAAAAACAAAAGAAAAAAAAAACTCAAAGAGATACTAGCAATGATCTTAGCTGGTTTAAAGAATACCTAGTAACTGACACTATGAAAAACAATACCAAACTCAATAATCCAATTGCCCAACAATTATTCATTTTCATTAAACCATATCTTATTGACATCTATTCAGGAAAATTATTCAATTAGCATCTGATATAAGACCTAAATCAAAACTTAATTACAAATATTTAATTAAAACTTTAGCAGACAAAAGATCCAAATTTTTAACTGATCTCATTTATGAAGCAAAACCTTTAATTGACAAATCAATATTTATTTCATTTAAATTAATGCATTCTACTTTCATCTCTTTTCTTAAAGAATTTACTACAACTTTATTTATTCAATTAAACTATCCAAAAATCTTTGCTTCTCAAAACTCCATTTCTTCATATATCACCACTAATCTGAAACAAGTAGTTCTTAATTTGGCTCACTTACACCTTATTCTTCATAACAAATATAAAACAATTTATACAGAAAAGTTTTATGAAGACCTTAAACTCTTTACTATCTATTTTAAATTACATTATAATTTCAGTAAAGACAATATTAATCAACTACTCTTTAAAATTCAAAATGATAATATATTTAATATTAACTTTTTTCTTAATATATCTAAAAAAAGATTTCTTCAAACCTTTTAATTTTCATTTTTAAAAAATCATTTATTAGAATTTAAAACCTGATTTAAAAATTTTTTAATATTTACAAATAACAATTTTATAACATCGATCAGAAAAAAATATTCAACTATATCAAATACCAAATTGCTCTTAAATTATCTAATACATGCAAAGTCTTTTTACCTTTTGAATTCAAAATAACTTCTATTGATTCTTTATAAGAGCACTCTAAATTATATTTCAAAGCAGCTCTATATCATATTTATACTTGTACAGTTTTTAACTATACAATACTATCTAAAGATACAGAACATAATGTTAAAAACTTATTCTCTCTTCTCTTTACTAACTCATATGATCATTTTTTAGCTTCAACCAATACACAACCCAAAGCTAAATAGACATATTCTACACTTGACTTCTCTATATTTAACAAAGATCAGCCTAAGGTTGCTACTTTTAACAAACCTACACCTATCATCTTTCTTCACCAACTTGTCTCTGATACTGAAAAAGAATTTACTAAACTTAACAATACTAAAACTAATCAAATATATGAAAGCTATTATTTTTATAGCTTTTTCAAAGCCTATCTTAGTGCTGCTGCCAATAATAACCAAATTAACAACCACCATCTACAACAAATTATTGACAAAATTATTAGCAAATCTACTAGTACTGAATACTTAGTTAGAATACTCATATATTTCCATATTCTTAAAAATGACTAACTTCCTATTTCTTTAATTAAAGAAGCTTATAACAAAAGATTCTATTCTAAAGCTTAACAAATTTTATATTCTAAGTTTAATATTAAATTTAATATACCCAATATCTTTATCATTCAAAGAAAATAATAACTTATCTAAACTTCCTAATGATGATATTTTATTATATTTAAATCAAATACTGAAAACATTAACCAAAACACAGAACAAAATTTATAACAAAATTCACAACCTGATCATGTTATAACACTCTCTTATAATCCTTTTTAATAAACTCTTTTGTAAAACATATAAATGCAGCCACTGCTTTTAAGATAATGATGTCTTCTACATCTAATAAACTATTCTTAGAAGAAAATGATGTAAGTGGATGGATAGTTAAGTCCATTTATGCAAAGA